CTCCCCCGCAAACCATGACAGACATAGCATTGAAAATGTCATAGATCTTGTTATTAATATGCAATGACAGATCATATATCAATCACATGTCGTTATAATGTATGAACTATGTTTCTTTTTTAATTGGTTTGGAAGAATAAGTAAAACGACAATAAAATAATATATCCTAAAACGGATAGAATAAAATAATTCCTTTGTGATTAACAACATCAGCTACATCCTGTTTGCTATGTTAATTCTACAAAAATAGTGATAACAGTATTTTAACGTAATTTTTAGGACAAAAATATCGTTTGAATATGTCAAAAGTATCATTTTTAGATGTAATTTCATGAATTCGATTCAATCATGATTTACAAAAAAAAACAGAAACCCTTTATCATAGTAATCAATTCTATATTTTATTTAGATTGATGAAGAAAAAACAGAATCATCTACTAATAATAATGATGAACAACAACAACAGCAATCTTCAACAACTCCAAATGAAACTGCATCAAATTCAACTAAAATTGAAACAAAAGAACATACACAAGCTGATATTGATAAATTACGTAAAGAAATTGAAGCTAAATATCAACTTCCATCACATCGTTCAATACTTGTTCATCCAACAATAGCTAAAGGAGATAAATTTGATTGTCGTATTGTATCTCTTCATTATTTACTTAATTATGCAAATAAAGATACAATCAAAGAAAAATGCTTTGAAGTAATAAATAATATAATTTTAATAAAAATAATTTAAAATTTTTATTTAAAATGAAATTTTTCTTTATTTTAGTTGTATCTTTTTTCTGAAGCTTTTAATGAAATGCTTATGCGTGATTATTCTTATCATATTTATCGATCATTATATAGTTGTTTAGAAGTAAAAGATACAAATATTGAAAGTGAAACTGAAACATCAACTATTGAACATAAGAATGATCAACAAGAACAAAATGAAACAAAAATTGATAATAAAGAAGAACAAATTGAATCAATGATAACAAGTAATGATGATGTTATTCTTCCTGGTCTTGATTTAAATACAGAAGAAAATGAAAAAAAACGTAAACGATCAACGAGTGAAGTAAATAAAAAACATTTTTTTTTTTTTTTTTTCTAAAAAAAAACAAAATTATTGTTTTATTCTACAATTTATTATGTATTTAGGAAGATTCATCATCTCAACGAAAAAAATCAATACAAGAAGAAACAATGGAAAAAAGTCCAAATGATGAACAAAAATCAACATTAACTATTGCACAAACTGGTCAACGTACAATTCATCCAGAATTATTACTTTCATTTACATTTTTTGATCGTAATCGTTGTGGTTATTTAACTGAAAAAGATCTTGAAGAAATTCTTTTACTATCAGGTTTATCCTTAACAAAAAATGAAGTAATATTTAGGAACAAAAAAAACAAATAATTAAACTTAATTTTTTAATTTTAATTTTTTTTATTCAAGGCTAAAATGTTAGTTAGTCGTATAGCTCATAATGAAAAAGTTCCATATCATCAATTAACTGACAAAACTTTGCCAATCGATGATCATAATAATACAAATCATATTGAAACAAACGAAACTGATATCGATCCACTTGCACCAAAAGGTAAACTAATTTAAAAAGAAAAAGCTTATCAATGTAGCCCTTTTAGGGCTAAAATTCAAAATGCACATGTATTATATTTATGGATAGAAGCAAGATGATTTCGATCCTAGGATTAAATGCTTTTAGACAAAGATTAGGATTAAGTCTTTTGGCTGAGGCAACGTTTCTTTTTAATCGAGACTATAATGAAAAATAGGTGTTCCCTCTCATGTTCAATTTTTTAGCTTTGTTATACTAATACAATATGCATGAAAAATCTCTAATAGACTGTAGTTATTCTTCAATAGTGATTGATCTCGAGAAAAATGAATGATATTGCTGCTAGGAATGTACCGAGACCGAACCGAGACTCTCGATGCGGGTAGTCTCGGTCGAAAAACTGAAAAAATAATAATTTCGACCGAGAGTGAATACAATGCTTATCTAGGATAAAGAACGAATAAGAAGTTAATTGTACTCGAGACCAATATTCATTAACACTGAGGCCAAGGCTAACTGAGACCGAGACCGAGCCCAAGAGGCTCGGTCTCAGTACATCCCTAATTGCTGCATTTCGAAATAAATTTTAATGATGCTTTATTTATTGTTTACTTCGTTACTAGATATTTTAATCTAAAATTATTATTATTATTATTCTAACTATTGATTTAATTGATGCATACGCCTTTTGTACACATCTAAGATATCTTAATCTTATGATGAAGTGTGAAAAATCAATATATCATTAATCATGATTCTAAATATGATTGTTAATACTCACAGAGTTTATTTAGAACAATTACAAACATATTCCAATCATATAAGTTTTAAGAAACTCTTTAGAATGTTCTAATCTTGTTTTTTAATATCGTAAAGTATCTTTTTTGATTGTTAGAAGAAATGTATTCATTGACCATTGAACATCTTCGCTGCTAACGTCCAAAATAGAATAGATGGAACTGAAAGACTTTGATTTAAAAGTTTCATAAACTATATTTTCTTTGGAAAAATAGTGTCTGAATTTCATAAAATTATCTTTTTCTTTTCATAGGTAACTTACTTCTTTTACCACAACATATGTCTATATTTGGTTTGCGTACATCAATAACAAATAATGGAAATCAATTAATAAGTTCAGTGGATAATCAACGAGCAATGAAACAATTAGAAATGTCGAATAAAATTCAAACAGGACTTGAATTAAAAATTGATACATTAAAAAAAGAAATTCGTAAGTTGAAATAAAAATTATATTTATTATACTAATAGTTCCTATGAAAAGTCTCGATTCACAATTTAACTATAGTAAAAAGCAAAATTTTTAATTTCATATAAATTTATCGAATTCTTATTGATAAATTTGATTTTAATTTAGATAAATTAACTGATGAATTACATACAGCACAAAAAAGTAATCGTTCTTATAATGATCAATTAACCGATACAAAAAAACGTCTACGAGATACTCAACATGATCTTAAAGAACTTGAAGATAAATATAAACGTTATTCCGATGCACTTTATCGTGTTCGAAGTGAATCACGTTCAACATTTGATCATTTAACACATGTACTTGGCATTAAAGAAAAACAACCATCACAAACAAGAAAATCTGAAGATGATACTAAGAAAAATATTGGAATGAAAACAGATGTAAAATCATCGAATGAATTAGATAAAACTAAACAAACAGAAAAACCTATTGAACAAGAACCAGCAACTAAAATTGAAGGTAAAAATGATTATACAAACAGAACATGACTAGAATTCACCAGTCTTAGTTGAGTTGCTAAAATCTTACGTGGAATTAAAATCATTAAATTATCAGATAGATACGAAAATTTTATATCTATTTTAAGAAACTTTTAATATTTAAACATTGACATAAAAAGAAAGTCACATATGTGAGTAATTAAATAGAACTATATTCTACATATATACTGAAATCTTTAATCTCAAGAATGAAATTCACATGAAGATTTTTCAACATAGATTGAAAAATTTTTATATCTATGTGATGATTTAATGGTTCCAGCTTTTTGGAATCATCGAACTCCAGACATGATCATCATCAATTTGACTTTAATTCGTTATGGGAGTTTCTTTTTTTTTTGCACAAGTTCTTTCTCTATGAATATGTGAAGATACAGTAGCTCTTCTAGCTCACACTTAAGTAGCTGATTAGTTAATAATTAAAATTAATTAATCAAAGTTTAATTAGTGAATAACTGTCTAAACTGATAAAGAACAGAGTTCATAGTTTAATAATAGACTCCACATCACTCATCACCATATCTAAAGTCACTTTTCAGCAAGATCGTACTCCGCAAAAATCATCTGTCTAAAACCAGTTTTTCAGAGATCCAATCTCGAGATTTTTAATAAAGACTTGTACCATTTATAATTGATTTTTGAACTCCTCATTCAATTACAAGAAGGTTTTTTATTTCTATATTTCTATTTACTCACATCGCCAACAAAGAATAAACCGAATTTTTTAAAAAGTCTAAGCATGCTTAAGAAAAATCTCACGTAAAGATTTTCCAGTCTGAAGAGTTTTCTACAAAGCACACAATTAAAAGCCATATCTTATTTTAGTTTTACAATAATAATTCCGCTGAATAAAGATCCATAGGCTTGAATTTTTCAGCGTTTCTATAGTTATAGTGGAACCAGGGAAGAGGGCTCATACCCGTTTACCGGTCGTCTTTGAATCTTCTCTGGCAAGATTTTTGAAAGATGTATTCTTTTCGTCAAAAGAAATTGAGTCTCCCTAGTCCAAGATTCTGACTTCGTCACTGATTTAGAGTCACTCAAAATACATCAGTTATATGGAAAATTAGTCAAAAAGAATTTCTAGATTATGAGATATATATATATAGATATGTGCATTTCTATTTCATGGATAACGAATAAAATCTGTCCATATTATAACAGAATATTGTTTACAATTTTATCCATAAACTATTTTCTTTTTCGTTTTAGAAACTCTTCCAACTGAAACTAATGATACTGAACAATAAAGACGAACTTCTTTGATTTGTGTCATAATAAGAATTGTATGTCATGTTTTTTTTCTTCTTTTTTTTTTTTTTTTTGTTTTTTCTTCTCTTGATTACAACTAATTGATTGATATATATCTTTGTTTTGTGTAAACATTCAGTTGTTTTTATTTGAGAGAAGGAATATATGTACGCGTGTGTTTATTGTCATTGATTGATTGATTGTGTTTATTCATCTTTCTTCTTGTGAATTGTGTTATATGTCTATGTAAACGGTAACAAAAAAAAAAAAACAAAAAGAACCTCAGCAAAATTTATTATTAATTTTCATTGCTATATTTGTTCTTCTCTCAAACTTTAGACAAAAAGAATTAAATCATTAAAAATTTTCTATAAATAATAACAAAAAGAAAAGAATGTGGGCAACAGGTACAACACATATGATTGCTCGTTTAACAAGTTCAACATTATTTGCTAAGTAGGAATATTGAAAAAAAAAAAAGAAATTTTCTTGATTTAAACGATTATACAATATTACTTACTTTCAGTCATAATGTTCTATCAATGTTTGGATTTGATCATCGTCTAGCATCTACAACAAGTCAAAAAACACCATCATCATCGGATAATGTTGAAGAAAGTTGGCATGTAGTAGCAAGATTACGAGATTTACGTGCTCGTACTCCTTATGCACTTTTTATTAAAGATAATTATACTGAAACAAGTAAAAAATATCCAGGTAAAATAATTAGATTTATAAAATAAAATTTTTATAGAATAATATTAGATTTAAAAATGATCGATATTAGTAAAAAAATTGCTGAAGCATGGAAAAGTTTACCTGATGATAAAAAACAAGTATAAAATATAAGAAAATTAAATATGTTTTTTTTTTCAATTAATTTTTGTTTTAAAGACTTATATAAAATTATCACAAGATCAAAAAGCTATTTATGAAAAAGAAAAAAATCGTTTATCACCAACTGATTTACAAAATGTTGATGCCGATGAAAAAGCTCGAAGAATTGAACATCGTGTTAAAAAAGTTTGTATTAATCAATAAATTCATTTATATAATATGTTTATTTATTTAGAGTATTCAACATTTACCAACAAAAAAACCACGTACAGCATTTGTTCATTTTATGTTATCACTTGATCGTGGCAATGCTGATTTACGTGTATGAATTTTTGTTATTTTAATTAAAAATAAATATTTTATTTTATATATAGGATTTTATGAAAGGAGCATCTCAACGATGGTCACAAATGCCTGTACAAGATAAACAAGTAAAAATTTCTATGTCTTATTCTCTATGCCTATATAAAGAAAAAAAATATTTGTAGAAATTTGAAGATCTTTATCAAGAAGAAAAACAACAATATAGTAAAGCTTTGGTTGATTGGGCTGCACACAATAATGAAGTATTAAAACCAAAAATTCGACGATCTTCATCATCGACTTCTTCGAAAAAACAAAAGAGTGTTAGTATTGACTAAATTGTCTTGTTGAATAAAAATATTCGTTACTTAGTTCGTATTTTCTTTAGCTTTATTAATAACTATCATTATACTTTGAAGCTATTGATAAATAACGTCCGAGGAAAAAAAGAATATAGTGTGTATTTTTCACATGGCAGACAAACATGTAACTTTCGGTCTTGGAAGCGTCTTTTGTTTTTGTTTAGAAGATCACTTTTAAGAAAAGAAAGATTTTTTTCGATGAAAAACGCTTAAGGAAAACTTGCTCAAATATTTTTGTTAGAAACTTTCGTGAAGAGCAAGAGTTAGTCAAAACTAGATCAGTGAAGTGGTCAAAAATTACAGTTTTTACCTACACATTCTTGATGTATAACTTTTTTTCTCATATATTGAAAAAACTTTTTGCTAAAAAAAAAAGATCCTTTAAAGTTTTTCATATTTTTATATTAGACTGAAGCAAAAGAAACATCACCAATTCGCAAAAGAGCAGTGAAAAAGAAAACCAATGATTCTACAAAATCGACTGTTTCCGTTGCAAAATCATCAACTGCAAAAAAGTCAACTAAAGGAACAAGTGATAAGGAAAAATCATCATCTTCATCATCTGATGATGAACTATCATCACGAATGAAAAAATCAAGCAAAACAACCGATTCAAAGAAATCATAAATATTAAAGTTAATTTTCTGTATATTCATTTTCTATGCTCAGGTATCATCTCGTTTTTTCTTTTTTCTTTCGATTTTTCGTTGTTCTCTTTATGTTGTTTTTTTTTGTGCTTTCATTAGTTTTTTTGATTTGTATTCGCATGACACACTGTATTTTCGTGATGATTATGCTGATGATTAATTGTCTTCTTTATTTCGAAAAAAAATCCACACACACACAAGTAGAAAAAAAAAACAGAATCTGTCGATACGTAGATTATATTCAAGTAATTAAAGGCAATGCTTTTCGAAGTTCTGCAATATTTTTAAAATCGATTAAACCATTATCAAGATATTGTATTTGATAATTGCCAAAACCTAGATTAAAAATTCAATAATTAAATAATCATTTCGTTATTTTACCTTCATCTTTAATTATTTGTGCAATATCTGTATCATTAACATAAACTTTATCATTAGTATAAAATTGAGGTGATGGATGAAGTAATTTTTGATATTCTTTTTGTATTGTAGTTTGGGGTTTTGTTGTATGAAAAGTATTATTTGAATATATTGATAAATCATTAGAAGATGTTTGCCATGAAGATTTCAAAGTATTATCATTATAACGTGAATGATAACGATTAATTCTTGCAGCTGTATTTTGTGGTCCATCTCGTGGTTTAGTTAATACTTTTGAAGGTGTGCTCGGTTCGACTATTGTTTGATTTGGTTCATTAATTTCTATTGGTGGTTTGCTCGAATTTTTTAATGCTAATATTAAGATAATGATAAAAAGTATTAATAAAGCTAACATGAACATAGCTCCAATAATAATACGAACAGTTGATGCTAAATAATAAGAAATAAATTTTTTATCAGATAAAATAAAAACTCTATATGTGTTACTTACATGCATTCAAAGCTTTGAATAATAATTCAAAAAGTATACCAAGAAAAATACCAATAGTAAAAAATAGAGTATCAGTAAAAATAAGCAAGATTTTTTCGTCTCTTGATAACCTTTAGTAAAATAATAGAATAAAAATGAACGATTATTCTATTTTATACTTTTTATTAAAGATATTAATTTCTATCGAAGATGTTGAATATATTTGATTTTTATTCTAAATGTAAAATAAACAAAATCATCTAGATTCTTAAAATAATCAAACCTGATATTCAACTATAAACATTGTAATAATCAAAAGAAGGATCATGAATAGAAGGAAACCCAATCCAATAGCATATAATCCATAACCTATTAATAATTAATATTATATGTGTCGGAGTTAGAGACCACTAAAATTTTACATCCAATGAGCTCTAGTTGGTATTAACTTTAAAATGTAGAAACGTAAAAATTGCGATGCACTACTTAAAACTAAATGATTCTTCACTAATTAAACTTTTTCCATCACGAGAGAACATCTCTAAGTGTCAAATCATCTTTTTCAGTGAGGACTATGTGCATCATGTAGACCCAAATTAGCTATGAGTGCTCTGAAAAGGCTTCGAGCTAACAGCTTATTGCTGCCGAAATATTGTAGTATTAGCACAATATATCGTGGTCTTCCTCAAAAAAACTTCGTTTCGAATTTCGAGTTGAAATTTTACATCGAGACAAATGGTAACAAGAATGGTGTTTCTGAAGGGACTATTGCATCGTGCTAAAAATTACAGTAACTCGGAAGTAATAAGCTATTAACTCAAACTCTTTTCAGGATATTCATAGCTCATTAGATGGATACAGTCTCGACTCAAAAGTAATTTGATGCTTAGAAATCTTTTCTAGTCAATCTATTTTCATCTAGATGTGCATACAACTAAACAGAACGAGCACACTGAAAAAAGTTCAAGACTTTATCTTTCAGTATGAGAGATTTGTTAAGTTGTGTGCACACCTAGATGACACTATGCACATTTTTTCATAATAAAAATTTCAAAGATGCTTGCAACAAAGAAAAAAAACTTCAGCTAAATTCAACTTAATTGACTTGTAACGGCAACTCCGACATATGCAATTAAAACTAAACAATAAACTAACTTTTAATATAAAATCCTGGTGCTACACCACCAATAAAACCAAGAACAGTTATAATACCAGCTATTGCAAAAATAATCGCTGCGTTTCGTTCCAACATCTATTATTCGAACTGTTTATGTTGTTATGAAAAGTATATTTTACAATCAGTTGACATGCAAACACCACAGGTGTTCTATTAATAATTCTATTCATTCTTGAAACAAAATATTTTTTATTTTAGTTTTCATTTTCGAATTGTGATTATTTATGAATTCAGCTGAATATTACTTGGATAGAACAGAAATAAAACCTATGAAAATAAAAGTAACATCAATAAATAAAATTTTATTTGTTATAATATTGAAATAAAAATTATATTTTACAAAAGTCACTGAATAGTTTTTGAATATTTACATTCAACATTATTACCTAACGTGTATTTATATTTCTTAAGAGAACAATTTTCATCCAAGCAATAGAATATTTTTTCTTTGTTATTTGCCCATTAGTCAAAAAGTTCAAAACATTATCACAATCACATGACTTTTCAAATTAAATTAGTATATTATTATCAAACTCTACTACGTTTTTGTCATGTGTTAAAAGCCTATATCACATATTTAATTACATTACATAAAATCAAAAACAATAACGGTGTTATAATGCCTCTGCATAATATTATTAGTAATAATCAAATAAATCTATATCAGAGATTCATACGACCGTAACAGACTCTGCCTTTCGCTTACGCATTTCGCACATCTATCTCTTTGTATTTTTACTTGGTAAATAAGCTATGAAAGAGCAAAACTATTTATTTATTCAATGTTTTTTCAGCCTGTTTTGAACTATGAGATAATACAACGAATATTCCGCAGAGATTTGCGTGATGTTTCATGAAGTTGTGCAGGACAGCTCCGGAAATCCTTGATCCCTATACAATTAACTATTATATCACAAAAACTAAATTAACAAAAAATGCATTGACTAAAAACTAAAATAAATATGTGAATGTTTATTGAATGTTTTTTCTGTGTTATTCATATTTTTATTCAAAATAAAGAACATCTATAAGTATCATATCTAGAAATATTATTCAATAGTAGGAAAAGAAAATTAAGTTTTATGAAATTCTCTTATGGTGATGATCAAATAATTTATTGATAGTAAACACTATATTAGCAATTCTATTCTTATGTTGACAGAAATCATTCAATCAAAATATAGAATCATGAAGTATTCAAACAAATCAGTTGACGATGAATGAATATAATCAACAGTCTATTCTTATATTAAATTATAATCAATATAGATAATCACAATTATATAAATAAAAAACATGATTTAAAATCAGAAAAATTTTTATTAAGATTATGAAGATCAATAATAATATAAACTAACTTAAAGTAGTAGCAAAAAAGCATTGGATTATGATAATAAGTATTTAATTTGAAAACAAATAGTGGTTTGAATAGCTAATGAAATTCTCTATCAAATGACATGATTACTGAAGTTTTATAAATGGATTATAAGAGTAAAGTTTCTGAAAAGCCAAACATGGCAGTTTTTCGATCCTAGAAAATTATATGAAAAATAATTTTTAAGAATGCTATGTTAAAAAGCATAATGTTTTGAATAAAACGAGAGGTTACCGCGTTTACTTTAGGCTTCTATTAAAATGTCATAAGCATCACAAAAAAAATGTGTTTTTAGTAATTGATAACTTTTAAAGGAAAGGTCGTAGAATATGAGACAAATGCTTATCTTATTCAAAATTTGATGCTTTTTAATATGGTACTCATACAAAATAACCTTTACAAAGTCTTCTAGTCCATACAAATAACCACGTTTGATTTTCAGAAACCTTTCTCTCATAGTCCATCTATGGAATATCGTTAATTAACTTATTTAATAGAAAATTGAATGAGCTATTCAAACTGCTATTCGGCTGTCAGTTAGGTAATATGGTTTCATAGAAAAAAAAACAAAGACAAAAATTCGTCATATATTTTTGATTAATGCTATAATTAAATGATGTTTGTATTACAATAGATAGAGACATGTTTATTTACTAACTAATAAACTATGAAAGAGAATTGCGTACAAAATTAATAATTACTATTCGTGTTTAATTATGTCATCCGGTAACGAAGTTCTCTGCAATTATTACTTAATTATAGATATTTTTTTTTGCAATGTATATCTATATTTTGATGTTATTTATTCGAATCATAATTTGATATTCTGTGTTGCGTGAGAAAATTTTCCTGTCTTGTTGAAAATAGCTTCAATTAAGTGCATGCATTCTCAATTTTATACCGAGGTTCTTTTTTTTTTTTTAATGGAAAAAAAATAGTATTATTTTTATTTTTTTTCTCACGGTCGGAAATTCCGGGTTACTTGCTAAACGGATATGCATTCTATATGATGGGCAACAATCGCGTGAGATAATCAAGAATACAATAATATTTTTCTGTATATTCTAAATATAGGTTGAAAAAATGAATGTCTTCTTGAAATTTGAAGATTTACTCTATGAAATAAATATATAAATAAAGTCAGTTAATAATAGAATTCATTTATTTATGTAAAATGATTTATTTTTTCTTTTTTGTATTTGCATTTCTATGATACAATTTTTTTAAAAATAGTAGCTATAGATAAGAATAGACAAACAAACAAAATAAACAGAAAAAAAAAGACAATTAAAGAAAAGTAAATAAGAATTTTTAGGAAAGAAAAATGTTATATTTGTTTATAATCAATACATATTTATTGTTTTACACGGGTTCGTTTTGATGGTGTACTACTAGAAGTTGGTGATGTAAGTGGAGAATTTGCATTGATTGTCGATGGTAAACATGTTCGTTGTTGATCAATACGACGTGATTGCAAACGATTAAGAAGTGAAAAAAAATCATCATCTGGTAAAGTTTTAGATGTTGATTCATTCGATGAATCTTTCGATAGTAATTCTATATCTGCTGTTGTTGTTATTGACGATGATGATGTTATTGTTGATGCAGATGTTGGTCTTGTTGATGAATTATCATTAGATGCATTATGATTATGTATTGGTATAAGTACAGCACGTTGATCATCAAGACGAGAATCCTATGATAAGAAAATCAATTTCCTCTTTGTTCTTTTCTATTTCAAAGAGAAAAATAACTAAATAGTATATACGAACTTGACATTTAGCTAGTTGATCAAAAAATTGTTCATTCAATTGTGAAAGACTTTCATTTGTTGTTGAAGTATTATTATTATTATTATCATGATTAATTGCTGATGGAAGATTTGTTCGTTGATCATTAAGACGAAAACGTTGTAAACGATCTACTGTATTTAATATATCTTCAAGTTGAGCACTTGGACCTAATTTAAAAGAAATTTTTATTAACAAAATCTTTTCATAATTTTAAATCTCATATTTATTATAATACAGTATTATATTTAATTTTATTTTTAGAATAAATCGAATTCAAAGTTTGTATGCCAAGTTTTATGAATGAGTACTCATTAGAAGCTGTCAATCGGTACTGGATTCGAAAATTTTGGACATAAGTTCGTCGAATTGGTTTCGGATACGAAAATAGTAGACCCTATTCTATTAGGTTAGTCTTAAATACGAAAATTTAGGACCTGATCTTGTCCGATTTTGTTTTGATCAGGTCCGAGTTCAACAATTTTGAAAACATTAGGTTTCAATTGTATGAGAAATGTGTAGAGTACGCTTGTTACTGAAAACAAAAAAAAAACGGGAAAAAAAAGTATCTTGTATCTTCCGTGCGACTAAACTAATCCGATTAGAAAATTGCATTAAAGAGTATCAAAGTATAGTTCGACCGAGTCAGAAAATTGAACTCGGTGAGCTCTAATACTTATAGAATTATTTCCTTTTGCAGTGTTTTCTTTGTATCTTTTCATTTCCGTTTAGGTTTTACATTTAAACAATAGAAAATAATTCTGTAAATCCGATAATCATAAAAAAAAAAAGAATATTTTATAATCAATCGTATTATTCAATAAGAAGAAATAATTTAAAAAAAATAAAAATAAAAAGATTCGATGCCTACGATGTCCACGTATTGAATTTGTAGTTTCATGAGTTGTTGTTTTAAGATCACAACGTTGATCTTCAAAACGTGATTTTTGCATACGACATACAAGTTCAACTAATTCATCATGATCAGCTGGTAAAGACTATAAAAATATTTAAGAATTTAGTTCTTTTCATCGTAGTGATTTTTACTTCTTTTCGTGGTGTTGATGGAGATTTTTTTCCAAGATGATGCATTAAATTTGTTTTTAAACTATATGAATTAAGTTTATGTTTTTTACTTTTATTTGATATAGATTTATCATTTCTTCCAATTGTATGTGAGCCAGTATATGAACGTACATCAGTTACACTACTATTAACACTTGCATTTGAATGTGCTGAATAAGGACTATGAGATGAGGAAGCTGATGAACCATTATTTGTACCAGCACCTTCCGATAGATTTAGACTACTAGAATCAGTGCGTAAATTCTAAAAAAAAAAAAAAAAATCAACAATTTGAAGAAAAGACAAATAAACAAACAAACGTTGAGCAAAATATTTGTTGGCCCAGATTTTGTTGACATTGAAATATTATCTTCTGTTGGTTCATTAATCTATATTGAATATATCAAAAATGGAAAGAAAATTTTTAAATTAATTTTTACTTCTCGTGCAAGAGCTTTATAAAGACTTTCATATTTTTTAGCTTTATCATATTGATTGATTTTTTCATTTAATTGACTTAAAACATAATAAGCACGACATTGTCCTATTGAATCTTCTAATTGTCGAGCAAAATTTAAATGTTTTTCATGAAAATAAATTGCTGTTTCATAATCATGTTTTAAACAATAAACACGACCAATTGTAAAATTCATACGTGCCATAAATGATTCATCATTCATGATTTCACCAATATTCATTGCTTCTCTTTTTATAAAATAAAAAAATCAATTGATTTTGTTTTTTTTATTTTTTTTAAAACTAAAATTTACATACCTATAATGATGAAGAGCTTTATCAAAATCTTCTAAATATAAATAAGCATTGCCAAGATTGCCATGTGCACG